TTGATATCTGTGAGGGTCTGGGTACTGCTTGATCTCTCATGAATAAATATATACTTTTTTGTCATTATTTAGTAGGTGATAAAGCATAACAATGATAGATAGACCCCTAAACAGACCAGTGACAAACAAGATTTGTAGTAAAAAATATTAAAAATCCGGGCCTGTGGTTTCTACCTGCCTTAGACCATCTCTGTTCCTGGATAAAAGACACACACAGCCTTTGCATTTTTAAATAGCCTTAGGCAGCACAGTAGCTGGGCAGCTGCCTGCCCTGCATGCTGTTAGAATCTTCCTCTGTATCAATAACCCCACGCTATCACTTACTATTTATTATATTTCATCTGGGCTGCTCTTAACCCAGTTGGGCAGTCCCCTGGACCATGTTCTCCTGTCCATTACCCCATGACAGCTCTCCTTCTTCCCTCTGCATACTGCTCTTCTTCATTGAAGGTTTCTCTCTTCCTTTTTCTCCAAATCCCCAAACCTCAACCCCACCTATATCTCTTCTGCCCAACTACTCACTGTCAGTATCTTTATTCACCAATCAGAATTAACTTAGGGGAGGGTCCCAGGAGCCACATGTGGACTCCCGGTCTTGAGGGCCAGCATTTAGCACTACAATAGACAGTAAAAGATAAAACCTCAACAGAGACTGAAACAGAAATTAAAAGCATTCCTTCAAGAGAATCTTTCCATTGCTGTTTTTTGGCAACACAGCCAAGATCCTAGATGGCTCACTAAATCCTTGCAATTGGGAAAGGGGAGCAAGGGGGAAAACATAAAATACAAGCAAAAGAGCATAGTTGCAGATTATAAAATTCTACAATGTAGGAAATCCCAAAGAATATAAAATTCCTAATACTGGTAAAGGAGTTGGGGAAAGCCACAAAGCAAAAGGTTATAAAATATGTTGCTTTTTCTCTGATTAGCAGCCATTGAATTAGAAATGAAAAAAATGCTTTAAAATAAAAGTTTAGATATAAATCTAAGAGAAGAGAGTATATGTTGAAAACTAAAAATCACTGATTTCAGAATTCAAAGATGACTTCAAGAGGAGAGATATGTCATGCACATGATGGCAAAACTCAATGTTAAGATTAAATTCTTCTCAATTTGGTATACAGACTTAACATAATCCCTACCAAAGTTCTAGGGAATTTTTGTAGGCATCAACCAATTGTTTGAAAATTTTCTTGAGAGTGATAAAGAAACTAAGACAGGTGACCAAGCCCACTCAGTCAGTCAACAGGGTCTCAAGGGAGAGAAGATGAAAGAAAAAAAGACAATTAGACAACATTATAGCATGATTCCAGCAAGCACTGAAGCAAGTTCATTTTTTCTCAAGCTGCTTTTATACCATTTTAAGTACATGCAAAGAATAGGGTCAGTTCTTGGTCAAGGAACAAACAAGGCATAAAAGTCCAGTGACCACTATATTCAGGGACTTATCAAGATGATCAAGACACAAGGAATACTTTCCTCAACTGCATTTTCCTTGAGCCTACTTCCTTGTTCCAGCCCAATGTCAAATATTCTTGCCAATTTCCTAGAAGCAACATCAAAGCTCTTGACATCTCCTTCTTTTTTACTTTATAAACAACCTGTGTATGTCTTAGGTTGTTTTGACAAGAATGCCTTAACCATCATTAAAAATGTATTATCCAAAGCAATGCACTTATGTCTTAGGTTGGTAAGGCTCTGTGCAGAATCTTACCCGTCATTGACTGTGAGCCTGTTAAATTAATGACTTTGTCTGGGGATCCATTTTAAGTTTCAAGCCACGTATTTTGTCTGCCAACATGTTGATGTTGTTAAAGGCAAGTTTTATCAAAATAGACAGGAATAAAGTAGTTCCAAGACAAGAAAGGCCAGCATGATCAAACTATATAAGCCATTTTTGAAGCTTGACCAAGATGAAAATACTGACCTTAAGCCAGGAATAATTTTATCAGCAGTGTCCACTGATAAACTAACACAGGCACATAAATTGCAAAAGAACAAAGCTAGAAGACCATATATTTGGCCTTCTGCATGGCCAATGGAACTATGAAATGGGTTACACACCTACAGATTTAGAAATATACCTGGAAAAAATATTTATAGACCTTGTGTCATTATTCCCTGAGTAATATAGAATAACAATGATTTACTTAGCATTCTATTGCATGTGGTATTATAAGTAGTCTAAAGAAGATTTACAATATATGGGAAAGTATGGATATTTTATCTATAACAGGTACTTTGCATACTTTATAACAGTACTTGAACATTATGTTTTGATATTTGTCAGGGTCTGGGACCACATCTCTCATGAATACTAGGAATGATCTTCATGTACATCCTTATTTCAAAATCAACTTTGCTCCATGCTAACCAGAAGCAGTATAGTTCTGGCATAGATGAACACAACCAGTGATCCTAAAGGAAGAATCAAAAAAAAAAAATCAAGCATATAGCTGTGTTCAAATGACATTTTAAGGTGCAAAGAAGTTGAATAGAGAAGAATCCATCTTTCCAGTAATAAAATAATTAAATATCATATGCAAACAACAACCAAAAGACTTCACAATGACACTGTTTTATTCATTCAGAAATATTAGGCAGTTGATGTATGTGAGTACCTCCCTTTTAAACAGATTTATTAATTGATTTTCTTTAGATACAGGGAAGGGTCACATATGGACCACAATGTGCATGTGGACATCAGAAGACAACTTGCTGGAGTTGGTTCTTTCCTTCCACTGAGTGGGGCCTGGGGTTCAAATTCAGGTCATCAGGCTTTGCAGAAGGCATTTTGACATGAGGAGTCATATCACAAAACCCCTGTTTCTTCCTTTAAGTGACTATGTGTCAATCTACTGAGACTAAGGAAGTACTTCAGTCTCAGAAAATGTAAAACAGCTGTAGCAATGTTATGATAACCATAATTTAACTTTAAGAACAAAATGAAAACCTCCCTGACCACAAACTTAATTGGTGGAACTGGGGGACAAAGTCCTTGTAAGGACCACTATTACTGTTGGCCAGTTCAACTAACTGATATATATTTGTAGCCTAGGGCTGATTGACTGGTTCATTAAGCCAAAGGTTCCCCCAAGTCCTAACGTCTCTCTACACCCAATGTTGATACTCAACAACAAATCTAGATAGCCTGTATGAATGATGACTGACAGATGAGTTTGCCATTCTAATTCTTCCACAGCCTCAATTTCTTTGTCCAAAGAATACAACTCAATCTGAAGAAAGTGTGGCAGTGAGCCTTGCTGCCATTTTTGTGACTGCAATGATTCCAGATCAGTATCTCTGGAAGAAAGCAGATGGCTTCTCCTGACCTACAGTAAAAGATTATGTAGTCAAAAGAACAGAACGGTAGTTTCATTCTATTGCGAAACTATTGTTAGGAAAACCATTTAAAACTCACCAGGTTATCCATTCACTTTAAGGAACTTTCCATGCCTGCATGTACCAGGCATTGTACTTAGTAGCTAGATGGCTCAGCACTTTGGCTGCAAAGCCCAATGACTTGAGTTCAGTTCTCAGGCCCCATGTGATTGAAGGAAAGGATTGGCTTGTCCTCTGACTTCTCTATGAGAAAATACTACTCCCTGCCCCTCACACACAAAGTGTGTGTGTGTGGGGGGGGTAATAAATAATCTTTTACAAACTTTTAAAGTAGCAAAATTCCTGTATTCAAATAGCTTAAGTCCATTTAATACAGTTCTATGACTTTGCAATTGTTTCACTTAAATTCTTATTTGCCAGGTGATGAATATAAGAAGTAAAAGGCATCAAACTTATTCAGTTTAGCTCTTTGACTACTGCCTAATCGGGAGACTTGAGAACGTGAATTTTCTCATCTCAGCAAAGCCTAAGGGTTTTCTGTGGAGTGAATACATGTGTCCTTCATCTTTTCCACAGAAAAAAATCTTGGTGACTGGAAGGGAAATCATATATACACTGAAAATTAACAGCTTTTTTGCACTGATGCTTTAAAAATGCATTTTCATTTTTATGTCTAAAGTTTTATTTGAACTAAGGCATTTCTTTTCATGGGTCATTCACAGTCTTATGTCTTCACAGCTGTGGCTTGATGGGCAAGCATTCTCCCCAGCTCAGGAGGCCTCTATCATGACAAGATTCAGAATAGTTTTTCTGTCAAGACACCTGCTAAGTAAGTGAGAAGAACTCTCAGACTTGACTAGGTAAACTAGAGAGCTGATGCCCTCATCCAGAAGGAAGAGCTTTGTTTTTCACTATAGACGGTTTTTCATGAAGTGTGAACACTTTTTTTTGGTTTGGTTTGGTGGTTTGGTTTGGTTTGGTTTGGTTTGGTTTGGTTTGGTTTGGTTTGGTTTGGTTTGGTTTTTCTGAGACAGGGTTTCTCTGTATATCCCTGGCTGTCCTGGAATTCACTCTGTAGACCAGGCCTTGAACTCAGAAATCCACCTGCCTCTGTCTCCCAAGTGCTGGGATTAAAGGCGTGCGCCACCACTGCCCGGCTAAGTGTAAACACTTTTAAGGCAAAACTGAGAAACATAACACTTTTTATTCACCTCCCCTCCCTCTTCCCTTCCTTCCTTTCCTTCTTTCCTCTCCTATGTCTTCATTCACCTGTCTATTGACAGGTATCATAATCTATGCTGAAGAGACTAGAGAGTAGCGTCTGTGTGGCTTACTCTCTACCTTATCATCATGAAAGGATGGAGTGGATTTTTTGACAAGAACGAGCTGATTTTTACATTCTTGTGCTCATTAACAAAAATTCGTTAGTTTCTCATAGTTCAGACGTTATTTGATCCTCTGGTCCTCCAACAACTGAAAACATCTGATCTTGGACTCTTCTTGCTTCCTGCAGGGTGCGCTTAGTAATCAAGGCAAAGCCATCACACGTGAGGAGAGGGCAGCAACTACGTTTCCCAGCGTGCTCTGCTGGGAGCACAATGGAGCTTGGCGTCATCCGGGTCACGTAGCCTCGCGTTTCCCGGAGCGCTGAGGGATTCCGGCCAGGGTCCCTCCCCATGCGGAGGGCCCTGCTGGGCCGGGAAAACTACACTTCCCGGCATGCCTCACCTCGGGTGCGCCTGCGTACCGGAGCAACTCCGCTGGCGAGCGGGTTGGTTTAAAGAGCTGTTTTAGTTCCATGGAAACAAACTTGGTGGCCGCAGGACAGAGCTTCGGGCTGGTGGATGAATTAGGGGTGAGGCTGCCGGGCCCAGACAGGAAGCTGAGGTGGGCGGTGAGGTGGGCGGCTTAGGGGAGAGACCACGCCTCAGAACAAGGTTCCTTTCCCTCCCAGCCCGAGTCCAGTCCCGCCCTCGAGACCTCTAGAGTCTCGGTTTACCTCCCTTCAGTACTCTGACTGTGAAAACGGCCTCAAGTAAAGTTGGCTTTGGTTGGACCACAGCTGCAGAAGGGTGGCCAGTCGCTGAGACCGCTACTTTAGCTGCTGTTCCCTATTTAGGTATACAGTTAGTTGAAGGTTCCTGGGAAAGGTTTTTTTCGACATTAAGGCTTGGTTTTCTGGCGCTGGTTATCCTCCCTGCCTGGCTTCCTAGATGCGACACATTTTCATTTGTACATTGTTTCTTGCTTGTGCTGGGATAGATCTTTGTTAAATACTATCGTGTTTGTTTGGCACCCACAAAAGCCAAGGTACTATGCTAAACTCAACAACAACAACAATAAAGGATTGTAACCCTACTTGAATCAACATGGGACACACGGATTCTTGGTTTTTGTGGACTTCCCCAGTGACAGGCAGAGAGAAATAAAGGGCTATTTAATACCAGCTGCTTTGCAGGCACTATTTGGGACATAGCACATACCTGTTTCCTTCCTCTGATAGAAATTGCATGCTCTGTGACAGTAAGATCCATTCTGATGCCTACAGCAGATATCTGGAAACCCTTTAGGAACATGAATACAAATTGGTGGTGTCAGCCTATGCTACAAATGCCATGATATGGTTAATGCCAATAACTCCTTTTGCAAATGACGTGGTCCATGGTTTGACGAAGACAGCAGGAACTTCACCTGCATGGGTCAGGTTGAGACAATGCTTAGGACTAAATTCTGTTTTGCAACCTGAAGAGAAAAAACTGAAGCCAGAAGGCAGAAAGAAACATCGAAGACCTAAGATGGGAGGAACCTGAGGTATAGTACAGCAGGGGGCTTGCCAAGCCCATTTTGTGGTGTGTGCCTGTCATTCTAGCACTGGGAGGTGGAGACCTGAGGAGAAGTGTAAAGTCATCCTCACAGCGAGTGTGAGGGAAGCTTGGATTACACAAGACCCTACCTCAAACCTAAAAATAAGTAAATAAATAAATAAGCCTTAATGAGATGTATTTATATATTCCTTCCTTAGTAGACCCTTCCTGGTAAGCTTGTGTGTTTTCTGAGGTCTCAGAAAGGCAGTTTTTTTTTCCTTTTGCTGCCTCCTTTCTCCTCTTTTCTGGGAAAAACAAAAAAAAAAAAAAAAAAAAAAACCCCTTTTTTGACCCCCACCCAAAAAAAAAAAAAAAAAAAATCTGCCCTTAACACTGGGAATTCTCATAGGAAGAGTCCCTACTCCAGTGACCTGTGTAACTCCTTATGCACTCTCGTGGAAGAGCTTGTCTTCTGTCTTTACTTTTTGACTCAGAAGCATAGCTTTCTGTTTTTCCCTCTCCCTCCCCTGCCCTCCTCTTCCCTCCTCCACCCTGTTTCTTTTTCTCTCTTCCCTTCCCTTCCTTTCTCTTCTCCTCTGTGTGTGTATGTGTGTGTGTGTGTGTGTGTGTGTGTATGTATGCACTCGCCTGCACATATGTATATGTCTTTGTTTCTGTATTTTCTTGTTTCTACATGTGGGTCTTTCCCAATCCTTAGTTAACTTACTGTTTTGAGAGAGGACCTCTCACTGACTCTGGAGCTTACCAGTTTGGCCTGCATAAGCCAGGGTATACTGAAACCACCAAACTAGTCCACTTTGTGGCAATAAATAAATGAATAAATAAATAAATATTGATGAAATAAGCCGCCTTATGAAGTTGGCTGCTTCCTTTCTGTTATTGCTCATATCAAACTTACCAGCAAAACGGAAACATGTCTGGATCTGATCTTCTGTTACTATTCCAGCTATTACCTGCTTCCAGGCAGCTGCAGAGGCTTTTGTCTACATTATCAAACAGCCTCCCAAACTGGTCTTCCTACTTTTAGCCCAGTACTTGTATCATCTGGAATAGGGTGGCTAGCTCAATCAAGTTAAAGATATGTCACAGCAATCTCTGATGCTCTGAGTGGTCACTTGGGAAAACCAGAACTGTTACAGTGGTGTTTACATGGTGTTTACCTTCATGATTTCCATCCCATGCTTTTTTTTTTTTAGAATAAACTGAATTTTACTTACTGTCTTTGGTCAGCTGACAGACAAGCTCCATACGGTCAGGGAGTTTTGACTGTTCCCTGTGTCCTCCCAGTGCTTATAGCAGATCTCATTGGCAATGAACACTCAGGAAATATTTGTTAGATATGTGAGGCAATTATGTGTTTTAACAAAGCCACTTTCTGTTGGTTATGATAACATCAGAGAATATCTTTTATTTAAGTGGGTAGTAAATAGATCAGCTATTATTCAGTGTGGCAATGGAATCTCTGTGCACAGAAGTAAGAGTTCCTCTTTCAAAGGCATTTAGCTTTTGCTAATACATTGCTTATAATATTGGGCTGTGCGTGTGTGTGTCTGTGTTTCCTGGAAGTTACTGGCCTAGAATATCTTCCTCTTTTTTTACTGGATATTTTATTTACATTTCAGATGTGATCCCTTTTTCCCATTTCCTTCCCACCCAGGAACCCCCATCCCATTCCCCATCTTCCTGCTTCTATAAGGATGTGGCCCCACACACCCACCCACTCCCACCCACCCACTCCCACCTACCCACCCACGAATTCCCTCATACTGGGGCGTCCAGCCTTCAATAGACTAAGGATTTCCTCTCCCACCTATGGCTGAAAATGCCATCCTCCTCTACATATACAGCTGGGGCCATGGGTCCCTCCCTATGTGCTTCCAGGCTGGTGGTTTAGACCCTGGGAGCTCTGGTTGGTTGGTAATGTTACTCTCCCCATGGGGACTCAAACCCTTTCAGCTCCTTCAGTCTTCTCTCTCACTCCTCCATCAGGAACCACATGATCTGTTCAATGGTTAGCTGTGAGCAACCACCTCTGTCTATGTGAGGCTCTGGCAAACCTCTAAGGAGACAGCTATATCAGGCTCCTGTCAGCATGTACTTCCTGACATCTACATCAGTGTCTACCTTTGGTAACTGCACGTGTGATGGATACCCAAGTGGGACAGTCTTCAGGTGACCCCTCCTTCAGTTTCTGTCCCACACTTTGTCTCCATATTTGCTCCCATGAGTATTTTGTTACTCCTTCTAAGAAGGACCAAAGCACCCACACTTTGATCTTCCTTCTTCTTGAGCTTCATGTGGTCTGTGAGTTGTATCTTGGGTGTTGCGAGCTTTTGGGCTAATATTCAATTATTAGTGAGTGCATACCATGTGTGTTCTTTTGTGATTGGGTTACCTCATTCAGGATGATATTTTCTAGTTCCATCCATTTGCCTAAGAATTTCTGGAATTCATTGTTTTTAATAGCTGAGTAATATTCTATTGTGTAAATGTACTACATTTTCTGTATCCATTCCTCTGTTGAAGGACATCTGGGTTCTTTCCAGCTTCTGGCTATTATAAATAAGGCTGCTATGAACATAGTGGAGCATATGTCCTTATTATATGTTGGAGCATCTTCTGGGTATATGCCCAGGAGTGGTATTGCTGGGTCTTCAGGTAATGCTATGTCCACTTTTTCTGAGGAACTGCCAGACTGCTTTCCTTAGTGGTTGTACCATCTTGCAATCCCACCAACAATGGAGGAGTGTTACTCTTTCTCCACATCCTCACCAACATCTGCTAACATCTGAGTTTTTGATCTTAGCCATTCTGACTGGTGTGAGGTAGAATCTCAGGGTTGTTTTGATTTGCATTTTCCTGATGACTAAGGATGCTGAACATTTCTTTAGGTGCTTCTCAGCTATTCGAGTTTCTTCAGTTGAGAATTCTTTGCTTAGCTCTGAACCCCTATTTTAATAGGATTATTTGGTTGTCTAGAGTCTAATTTCTTGAGTTCTTTGTATATATTGGATATTAGCCCTCTATCGAATGTGGGATTGGTAAAGATTTTTTCCTAGTCTGTTGGTTTTCCTTTTTTCCTGTTGACAGTGTCCTTTGCCTTACAGAAGCTTTGCAATTTTATGAAGTCCCATTTGTCAATTCTTGATCTTAGAGCATAAGCCATTGGTGTTTTATTCAGGAACTTTCCCCCTGTGCCCAGGTATTCAAGGGTCTTCCCCACCTTTTCTTCTATTAGTTTCAGTGTGTCTGGTTTTATGTGAAGGTCCTTTATCCACTTGGACTTGAGCTTTGTACAAGGAGATAAGAATGGATCGATTTGCATTCTTCTACATTTTGTTCTCCAGTTGAACCAGCACCATTTGTTGAAAATGCTATCCTTTTTCCACTGGACAGTTTTAGCTCCTTTGTCAAAGATCAAGTGACCATAGGTGTGTGGGTTCATTTCTAGGTCTTCAATTCTATTCCATTGATCTTCCTGCCTGTCTCTGTACCAATACCATGTAGTTTTTGTCACTCTTGCTCTGTAAAACAGCCTGAGGTCAGGGATGGTGATTTCTCCAGAAGTTCTTTTATTGTTGAGAATAGTTTTTGCTATCCTGGGTTTTTTGTTATTCCAAATGAATTTGAGAATTTCTCTTTCTAACTCTGTGAAGAATTGAGTTAGGATTTTAATGGGGACTGCAATGAATCTGTAGATTGCTTTTGGCAAGATGGCCATTTTTACTATGTTAATCCTACTAATCCATGAGCATGAAAGATCTTTCTATCTTCTGAGATCTTTGATTTCTTTCTTCAGAGACTCGAAGTTCTTGTCATACAGATCTTTCACTTGCTTGGTTAGATTCACACCAAGGTATTTTATATTATTTTGACTATTGTGAAGGGTGTCATTTCCTTAATTTCTTTTTCAGACTGTTTATCTTTCGAGTAGAGGAAGGCTGCTGATTTATTTGAGTTGATTTTATAACCAGCCACTTTGCTGAAGTTGTTTATCAGGTTTAGGAGTTCTCTGGTGGAAGTTTTGAGG